TTAATGGATTCGGAAATCCTTAAGGAGAAGCCTTAAGGTACTGGAGTAGGGAGTTCCCGAACCAGTCTAAAATTGGTGTGTTCTTATTTTACGTTATTATTTCTCCATTTATTTATTGCTTCCGCATTTGCCAACACCAATTTTACTAAACTACGAAAATATTTTTTAAGCGCCTTATTCACGCCCGCTTAAATTCCACTGATTTTGGTGGTTTCTTTTTGGGTTTATATATATATATATATATATATATATATATATATATATATATATATATATATATATATATATATATATATATATATATATATATATATATATATATATATATATATATATATATATATATATATATATATATATATATATATATGGGATTATTCTTGTGAGAATGATTCTTGAGGAAAGAAATGAGAATAAATAAAACCCGTTGATATTCCAAATCTAAGGGCCTTTATTAGATGGGAAATGCTTGGTTCACAAACATAATGATCACAAACTTCACAAACTTACTATTTGTGAACTTTCATGCATAAAATTAAATGGTCTAAAATGATTTTAAAACAAAATTTTAAATCATAAATAATAAATTTGTGAAGTTTGTGAGTATTTTGTTTGTGAACATAGCACTGCTCTTATTAGATCTAAAATCTGGCGCCATTGACTAATATATATGGTAAAAATGATTCATGCCCGTACGTTTAGGCTAGGAATGAAACATGTGCTGATCGAGGGGCATTTTTGTATGTTTGACAATTAATACACACGTCACAATTAGTGGAGCCGTAACGATAGAAGTATTAATAGTTCTCTTATTAATTATTTCTTTTTTAATCATGCAGCTTATTAATGTGCAATAGTTGTCATACGGAGTATTGATGATTTTTTCTTTTTTATTCAGGCAATACGTGATTGGATAATACATATTGCTCTACCCTTTGGGGTAATAGGCAATGACTTGTTTTTTCAAAGAGACTCACTTCTTGCACTTGGACATATTAAAACGCATTTTCATCTTTTAAAATTTACACCCTTCAATGTCTTTTTAAATATTCAAATGTGTCACAAAATATTTTAAGTGCATTATTTGTAGAAAATTCACTATCTAGAATATACAAGTGCATCATATTTAATTTGTGCTAGGAGTATTTCATCATCAATGCATCAACTTTAATTAGGAAAATGCATTAAGTTTTACCTTGATTATGAGAATGCATTTCCTTCTCATATAAATGCGTTACAGTGATTCTGATGATGTACAATATCAGAAAATTGCAAACACAAAGGAAAAAACAACGAAGAAAATAAACGCGATAATGTACCCCCTAATACTGCCGTCTTCAAATGTGTTAAACTTAAGAGCCACAATGGGAAAGGGACTTCAAACAAGCAGAGAAAACACAATGCATCAACCCCACTACCTATCAATCTCAATGCTCATTCACTGCAAAGGCTGAAAAGTATGCACATATACATCAAACAACCTCTTGCTAAAAGAATGAGAGGAATAAATTTATATTTCTATCACTTGTTAGGCCTAGTGTTTGTTCATTTACTCTTGACAAACAAGAATTAGCCAATCATCCAAAAGTAAAAAGTAACCCTTAACTCATTAAAGGCTATAAAAGACCATTTTAAAAAAACCATAGCATCAACATAACATGAACAATAGCATTTCAATTAGAGTCATGCAACAACAACAAAAGTATAATCTGCACTCAACGACTATTGGAGAAAAAAAAGTGTAATTCTCAATTCAAGCCAATATAAAACTTAAATTCAACTAGATATGTTGAAATAATTTGCCTATGCAGGATTCGAACCGACATCTGTAGTACATACCGCTTAGACCTATTAAATACGCATTTTAGTCTTTTATAAATTGCATCATTCAATGTGTTTTTAGCTCATATTCAAATGTATCACAGAATATTTTAAATGCATCATTATTTGGAGAAAATTCACTATCAAGAATAAATATATGCTTCATATTTGTATTAGGGAAATTTCACCATCTCATAGATGAATTTCACTTTGATTCTAAGAATGCAGAGTAATTGAATGCATTGTCCTTACCTTGTTTATATAATGCATTGGGTTATCATGTAAATGCATTACATGTATCTTGACAATGCATAATGGAAGGAACTCATATAGACTTTAGTCATTAAACCTTACCAATATAATAATGCAAAGCATATTATAGTATAACTTAAATATTCTGTGATGCATAGCTAGAGTGAATAATATGCAGTTAGAGGTACCTTGCTCAATAAATCAATATTAATGCTTTTGTGGCGCTTTTTATAATGCAAAATATGGGCTAAACGAATGCAATAGAATAAAAAATAAAAATTAAAAACAAAACTTTATGATGTGTGAAGAAAGTTTAAAGCTAATTTAGTGTATCTTCTTTAAGAAAAAAAATTAGACTTGAGATGCAAGAGGTTTATTTAAAGGATTAACATGATTCCAATTACAGTTGCACTAAAAAGAATGGCAGATTCAAAAATTTATATACTCTTATATGCACATAAGGCGTTTAAATTATACATTTAAACACGACTTTCTTTCAGGGTCCGTTTGGTATACGGAATTGACGGAATTGCAATTGAATTGGAATTGAAATTCCATGGGATTCAATTCCATAGAATTGAATTATGCCAATTCCAATTCATTTTTTGAACTATCAATTCCAAATCCACAACTTGAATTCCATGTACCAAACGGGACCCCAACGATTACTCCCGATTTCAAATTGCACTGTCTTTGAGACATTTTCACAAACAGTTCGCATGTAGAGCAAAAGCAAAACAAAATCAAAATAAAAGTGCATTAACAATTTTGTTTTCACAAAAGCATAAAAAAGATAAGGTAAAAGAAGCTAACAATATACTCATTCAATTGACGAAGGATGCCTAAACTCTTTCAGTACACCAAAAAATCAAAATAGAAAAATGCACGACAATTAAATTCATGTGGAAGAATGGTTGTGTATAGACCTGGCAAAACCGAACCGGAACTGATTAATCGAACCGAAATATCCGAAACCGAAACCGAAATGACCCGAAAAATGAAGATTCAATCTTTAACCGAAACCCGAAATGTTCCGAATCAAACCGAACTAAATAATTCATATATGATTTAAATCCGAAACCGATTAGATCCGAAACTGATAATATCTGAACCGATTAAACTGGAACCGATTAGATCCGAAACCGACAATACTCGAAACTGATAAAATCCAAAACCGATTAGATCCGAAACCGATAATATCTGAACCCAATTAGAACTAAAATCGATAAAATCGGAACTATGTTTTCCTTTCAAAAAGCATATTATATTTATAAACTTTTACTTTTATTTTACCATTTGAACTAATTACATTACTTGCTCATTCCCTCATAAAATAAATTATCTTCTTGAAAAAAGTACAAAATTTCATGCCTTAAATTTATTATATGTAGAAATTAATATAAGTTATACATATAAATGATAACGCCTAAACAAATAAAATTTCCATAATTTTTAAATAGTGAAGTGTGATATTCTTTATGGGACGAAATGATTATATGATGAATTGTATGGAATAACTAGCTTTTATCCTAATTGCATCCCATTAAAATAAATTTTATTGATTTGATAGTTAGTTTGATTAGTTTCAAACCAATTCACTCATTACTAGTCAATAAAATTAGATGCTAGTGTTAGCATTTTGAAAAGACTCTTTAGCGGCAGAATTTAGTGTTATCATTTTCAAATTTGATCTACACCATTACATTTAGGTGTAAAATTAATTATATTTGACTCTATTAAATTTAATTTTAACTATTTTCAACCAAATACACTCAATATTTTATAAATTTTGCACTCAATTGAATAAAATCCACTTAATTTCACCCAATTTTACTCAATTTTTACCAAATTATAGTCAAATGGAACATAACAGTATTTGAATTTATCTTTTATCTTTTAATTTATAAACATAAGTATATTAGTAGATGTGAGAAAAAATTGATATTTCAAAACTAAATTTTAAAATCAATTTAATTATATTAAATTTATATCATAATTAAATATATATTTTTCATAATTTGTAGTCCAAATTTGTAAAATATGACTAAAAAGTCAAAAAGGGAAGATTATTTAGGGTAGAGATAATATAATTAGAAAAAAATATAAAATAATACGAGGTATTGACTTGATGATAGATTGATAAATGTGATAAAACATAAAAAGAAACAGGGATAGTTAAATTTTAATTAGAAAATAATATATATCCAAAATATATTTGATCTGAAACCGAAATATATCTAAACCGAACTAGACCTAAAACCGAAATATATCCAACTCAAATTGTATTCGAACCGAAATCTATCCGAACCGATTTATAACCGAACCGTATCTGAACCGACTTAAAACCGAACTGAACCGAACCAAAAAATGTATAGAACCGAATAAAATCCGAAACGAAATTTTACTGATCCGAATCGAACCAAACCGATTATAACATATAACCGAAAGATATCCGAACTGAAAAAATCCAACCCGAAATCGATCCGGTTGACCCGATTGCCACCTCTAGTTCTGTACCTATACTCCTGTAGCTAGAAAATCTCACCACAAACTTCAAAGTCCAAATTGAGAAGTTTGCCGATCGCAAATAGGAATTGGGGGCAGAGACGAAAGAGGAAGCACCTAAGAAAGTAGTCGACTGCAAATGGCAGGAGTCCATCTACAAGTTTCTAAGAGTCCGTTTGGTATACGGAATTGGAATTGAAATTCCATGGGATTCAATTCCATAGAATTGAATTCTGTTAATTTCAATTCATTTTTTGCACAATCAATTCCAAATTCACATAAATTTTGTGTTACCAAACATCTTGGAATTGAATTAATCAATTCCAATTCCATATTTTGAATTACTGTACCAAACTCGGAAGTGATATTAGTGGTTGAGAACGCCTCTATGAAGTTAGGGTTATGAAATGCATTAACTCCATGGCCGCACATTGGAAAAAAATGACTCCTCTCTCTAGATCTCTTCTCTTCTCCATAGAGTTCTTCCATGGCATCTCTGCCTAACCACCGCCATCGCCATGGGTACTCAGACATCGGAAGGCCTCCACCTCTATCCGGCCATTCACAGATATGCTAGGCTTAAACACTCCAATCCAGAAAGAAATTCGACGGCACAAGCGATTTCCTCCTGCTGTCTCGTTGACCGCTGCAGAGGTAAATTCTACGCAATTGGTCTGTTATACCCCTCCCTCATCCTTATCATTTTCCGCTGCCCTGTTGAGTACCAACGGTGCTTCTAAAAAAGAATTTGGAAAATCCATGGAAGAGAGATGATGGTAGTGTCGAAATGGAGTCCAAATTTCCATGCCTACTTTGAGAGTAAGTCTTCCCAGTCAGGGTTTCGCTTAGCCATCTGCCTTTTCATCTTCAGGAAGCCAAATCCCTCCACCATATTGCAAGTTCCATTGGAAATCCACTGATTTGCAAAAATGAGGCCCTCCGTAGCTAGATTCTGTGTTGAAGTTTATATCTTACAACATCTTTCGAACAAGTATGCTATGAAAATATTCCACTTTACTCTGTGCAATGGGGTCCTAGTGTGGACATCAAAACATGGTCACTGTTTTTTGGGACAACAACAACCATGGAAGATGCCCCCAAGGAGAAGCCTACAACGGCAGAACACACACCCAAGGAGAAGGCTTCACCGCTAGACAGGACCTCCCCTGGAACAAAGTGGCACATGCATAAAACAGAAGCCAATAACCCCTGAATTGACAGTGCTTGAGGATGGTATTAGCATTATTGAGGAAATTACCAAAGAAGTTCCTGCACAAGTTCTTGTTAATGCATCAGAATATACACGGTAGTACTAAAGATACCCTACAAATTTTGTCACTTCTATAATTTTTTTTTTGTTTGCTTATTTTCAATTAGTGACCATATGACAAAATAAAGTATTTTTATTACATTTTGTTTTGTAGAATAACTGAAATAATAGTGATTTTGAATGTGGTAATTTGTAGTATTTTTTTACCAATTTACAGTTTGTATTAACTGCATTGTAATGGTTCATACTCTGCATTATTAATTAATAGGGTCCCCGTAGAGTATATATACAACCATATTCTGTAGTAGTCCTAATAATTCAACTTATTAGTTCTAAAGGTAACATTATTAGCTAGGATGACATAAATGTTGGATTTTTTTTGCATCTTGTAGATGAAGTACTGCACCTTAAAAGTTTTGTTCGAGAGATTCAAAAGTGAAGCAATCAAGCAGCTCAAAAGATCTACTAATGAATCTATAAGGAGAGATGCAAGAATTGAAGCTTTGGGTTATAGAGGTGGGTGGCTAGCGCTGGATGTGGGAAACAAGTTCGTGGGTGTATCCTATACACCTAGACCATCTCACCACTGCGCTTTTCCGGTCACGTAAGATTTCAACCATTAACTATTATTTGTCCTTCCGTCCAACAAAACATTTCTTTTAAGAGATTTATGAGGAGCTAATGTATTTTGGTGTTGACTTTCCATATGTCTCTAAAAACATGAAAAGTTTTGATTTTTAATGGATTAAAGGGCCGGAGAGTGTATATCATTGTTGAATTTCTAAAAATGTCACTGGATGTGATGGGTAAGAGTAGAATTTGAGACGGTAAGTGTAATAGAACGGGCAACACATAAATAAAAAGAACATGGGGGGTTGATTCTCCATATATATCTCATTGATCATGACCTCGATTTAAATTGATCAATTTTTTTTTAAACATACTGACTCGGGAATCTGATGGGAAGTCCGATGATGATTGCCGAAGGTTGCGCCATCTGAACCTGCATTTGTTAACCCAAAAAGTGCAAAACATGAAAAAGAAACCTAATTAAATTCTTCGTAGTAAGTTAGAAGCTAAGTGTACATACTAGCTCGGTAAGCTCAGCCACATGAGCTGCATCCATCTTTGGTTTCTTTTTCATGTTTGCACTTTTTGGGTTAATAAATGCAGGTTCGGATGGCGCAACCTTCGGCAATCATCATCGGACTTCCCATCGGATTCCTTGAGTCGGCATGTTTAAATTTTTTTTGATCAATTTAAACCGAGGTCATGATCGATGAGATATATATGGAGAGAATCAACCCTCGCTGTGTTTTTTTATATAAGTGCTGCCCGTTCTATTACACTTAGACATTTTACTGTCTCAAATTGTACTTTTACTCATCACATCTAGTGACATTTTTAAAAATTCAACACCGATATACCCTTCCCGGCACTTTAATCCATTAAAAATAAAAACTTTCTAGTTTTTAGAGACAAATGGAAAGTCAACACCAAAATACACTAGCTCTTCTTAAATCTCTTAAAAGAAATGTTTTGTTGGACGGAAAGACAAATAATAGTTAATGGTTGAAATCTTACGTGACTAGAAGAGCGCAGTGGTGAGATGGTCTGGGTGTATAGGATACACCCACGAACTTGTTTCCCACGTCCAGCGCTAGCCACCCACCTCTATAACCCAAAGCTTCAATTCTTGAATCTCTCCTTATAGATTCATTAGTAGATCTTTTGAGTTGCTTGATTGCTTCACTTTTGAATCTCTCGAACAAAACTTTCAAGGTGCAGTACTTCATCTACAAGATGCAAAAAAAAAAAAACAAAAAAATCTAACATTTATGTCATCCCTAGCTAATAATGTTACCCTTAGAACTAATAAGTTGAATTATTAGGACTACTACAGAATATGGTTGTATATATACTCTGCGGGGACCCTATTAGTTAATAATGCAGAGTATGAACCATTACAAAGCAGTTAATACAAACTACAAATTGGTAAAAAATACTACAAATTACCCCATTCAAAATCATTATTATTTCAATTTCTGCAAAACAAAACAACAACAAACAACCCAGTTGAATCCTACTACAGTAGGTGTGTATACGCAGACCTTGCCCCTACTCGGAAGTAGGGAGGCTGTTTCCAAGAGACCCCCAGCTCAACCTGCACAGAAAATATGATAGGGAACACATTATAACACGGATAAAGCACCAAGTACAATGAAATGAAAATCCTGCAAGCAATAGCAAAAGATTCCAATCAAACACAACACACTACGAAAAACCTCTGCAGCACCGAGCTCCTATCCAGCTACTCTAATCCTAGTTCTCCAAAGGTTCTTATCTAAAGCCATATCCTCAGTCAGGGTGAGAAGTCCTAAATCCTGCCTAATCACCTCCTTCTAATTCTTTCTAGGTCTACCCCTTCCCCTACTTCCCCTGATAACCGTAATCCTCTCGCATCTCCGTACATGGGCGTCAACATCCCGCCGTCTCACATGACCAAACCATCACAACCTCGCTTCCCGCAACTTATCTTCCACCGGCGCCATGCCTACATGACGTCAGATAACTTCGTTCGAAATCCTATCCCACCTTGTTTTCCCACTCATCCATCATAACATCTGCATCTCCGCCGCATGCAGACGACGCACATGAGTTTTCTTAACCGCCCAACACTCTGCCCCATATAACATAGCGGGTCTGACTACGGATCGGTAGAACTTACCTTTCATCCTGGGCGGAATCTTCGGATCACACAACACCCCTGAAGCCAACCGCCATTTGGCCCAAGCCACTCCAACACGATGTCCAACATCCCCGTCTAACTCCCCATCAGCCTGGATTATCGAGCCAAGATATCGAAACCTGTCTGCCTTAGGTACTAGGTGAGAGTCAATCCTAACATCCACTTCTGATTCTATTTCCCGGCCGCTGAAACGACATTCCATGTATTCAGTCTTGTTCCTACTTATTCTGAATCCGTTAGTCTCAAGGGCAAGGCGCCATAGTTCCAACTTATCGTTTAGTCCCTCACGTGTGTCGTCGATAAGCACAATATCATCCGCGAAAAGCATGCACCATGGGACCCCTTCTTGAACACCTTGAGTTAGGACGTCCATCACTAAGGCGAACAAAAAAGGGCTAAGGGCAGACCCTGGTGCAACCCCATCCCTATCGAGAATGACTCAGAGTCGCCCCCGGAGGTCCTTACACTAGTCATAGCCCCATCGTACATATCCTTGATCGCGCGAGTGTACGCGATGGGGACTTCTCTCATCTCAAGGCACCTCCATAAGACCTCCCTTGGCACCCTATCGTACGCCTTCTCAAGATCAATAAACACCATATGAAGGTCCTTCTTCATAGACCTATACTCTTCCATTAATCTCCTCACGAGGTGAATGGCCTCTGTAGTCGATATGCCAGGCATGACACCAAACTGGTTCTCAGAGATGCTAACCCCTTTCCGCACTCTATACTCAATGACTCGCTCCCAAACCTTCATGGTGTGGCTAAGCAGTTTGATGCCTCTGTAATTCTCGCAGCTCTGAATGTCACCTCTACAAAACAAAATGTAATAAAAATACTTTATTTTATCATATGGTCACTAATCGAAAATAAGCAAACAAACAAAAATTATAGAAGTGACAAAATTTGTAGAGTATCTTTAGTACTACTGTGTATATTCTGATGCAACACTCCCGAACTAAACATCCAAACAAGAAGTGGGAAGCTCCCCCTTAGGGGTCACGAACATACCGAATGAGGATGAGGACGAGGTCGAGGTAGAAGAGACTGAAGTAGTAGCAACTTACGATTCTCCACCACTATCTCTTTCAGGCTCCTTTAGTTCCTTTAGGCAGCGCTCCCTACTTGGGCTGCGTCTAGGGCTGTTCATGTTTAGGCCCAGACCAAAAAAACCGATCGAACCGGACCAATCGGTCCAGACCGAACCCGGACCGATTGGATTTCGGGTCGGTCTTGTTGGGTTATTCGGTGAAGGCTTTAGAGCTTTGGGCTTTAAGCCCGGTCGGTTAAAGAGAAGAAATATGGGGGGCCGGTTTTAGTTATTAATTAAAGGGCCCATTAGTTGTTTCTTGTTTAGTAAGTTGTTAACCCTAATTTATATCTTATAAATACCCAATCATGTAACTATAATCTGTGAGCACCTAATAAAAGATAAACCCTAGTTGCAACCCGTGGAGTAGGTTACTGACCGAACCACGTTAAATCTCGTGTTCTTATTTTCTGCTATTTGTGTGTGTGTTTATTCGCTTCCGCTTGACCGCCTCTGATCTCTGATTCCTAACAAGTGGTATCGGAGCCTTGGTTCGGTTAAACACACGGTTACACAGGATCAATCGCAGGAAGAAGGCTCGTCAGGATTGTTTTTGCTGCTGTTTTGCTGCCGCGGTTAAGGGGCTGGTTCAGATCTGATCAGGGGCTGGTTCGGATCTGATCAGAGGCTGGTTCAGATCTGGTCAGGGGCTGTTTGGTCGGTTTTAGGTGAACTTGGCGATTAGGGTTTCTGGTTTTGGACCTGGTACACGTTGGTTCGGGTTCTTTGTTTTAGGGTTTGTTTTCTTTTGAAGGTTGCTTGGTTTCAGGCCGTTATTCCTTGATTTTTTCTCTGGTTTTTTTTCTCTCGTTTTGCAATGGCCGAGGACGGGAGGGTTTGAATCGAGAAGTTCAACGGTACTGATTTTGCATGGTGGAAAATGCAAATAGAGGCGTTGCTTGGTGAGTGCGATTTGGACATGGTACTGGAAGAGAAACCAGATGGAATGGATAAGGCTGCTGAAGCAATTTGGGACTCAAAGGACAAAAAGGCAAGAGGTAAAATTACACTAGCTTTGACGAGGAGTGTGGCGTTTAATATCATGAAGGAAACAACTGCTCGTGGTATGTTAACAGCTCTGTCAAATATGTATGAGAAACCGTCGGCCGGTAATAGAGTGTTCTTGATGAGGGAATTGTTCATGATGAGAATGAACGAGGGCAGCCCAGTTGCTGATCACATTAATGAGGTCAATTCGATCTTGTCGAGGTTGTCATCAGTAGGCATGAAGTTCGATGATGACACTCAGGCTGTGATTCTGTTATCTTCCTTGCCTGATAGTTGGTCGGGATTTGTGACAACGGTTACTGAAATTGCTGGAACAGGAAACTTGAAGTTTAATCGGATACGGGATAGTGTTTTGGGTGAAGACATTCGCCGGAGGAACGCTAGTGGAGGATCTACTTCTGGGTTACTTAGTGTTATCAGGGGAAGAGGTAATAACAGAAACAGTGGGAGTCGTGGGAAGAGCTCGTCTAAGGCTGGAAAGAATGTGGTGTGCTGGGTCTGCAAGGAAGTTGGGCATGTCAAGAGTCAATGCCCAAACAAGAAAAACGAAATTAGCGCAGTTGTTGGGAATGCATCTGATGATGATAGTGATGCATTAATACTCAGCATGGAAAGCTATGTTGACTCTTGGGTCATGGATTCTGGTGCTTCGTTTCACGGCATGCACAGCGGTGAGGCGATGGTGAATCTCAAAAAGGGAGACTTTGGAAAGGTAAAGTTGGGTAACGGGAAAATCCTTAAAGTGACAGGCATGGGAGATATTGATCTAAGAACTTCATTTGGAACTACTTGGAGCTTACAAAATGTCAGGGTGATTCCAAGACTGAAGACAAAGTTGATCTCAGTCAGACAATTGGATGAACATGGACTAGACGTCAAGTTTGGTGGTGGAAAATGGAAGGTGATCAAAGGAAATTTGGTTATTGCTAGAGGCTTGAAAAGAGGATCGTTATACATGGTACTGGTGACATCGGAGGGAGTGACCAACCCGGTAAAGACAGTTAACATAGTCGGGCTCACTGAATCAGGCAAAGCTAAGAAGGTTCATTTTGCAAACGTGAATCTTGGAGTTTTGGGGATGACAGTTGAGTGTGTTCGGAGGTCTGAATCAGGTCAGGGGTTTCGTGACAGTGGGAGCATGGGACGTGTTCCGAGTACAATTCTGAAACGTCGTTGGGTTTTGAGGACCAAGAATCCGAACGTTAAAATCTCTCCTGGGAATAGTTTGCTGGATTTGGAGAGTGGTAATGGTCCTCGGTGTATCTCTGGATCCGGTGGATTGTGCAAGCCGGTTGAGACAGAGGCTGTGGTGGTTACAGTCACGACTGGGTTGGAGCTCGGTGGAGCTTCAACTGTCCTTTCAGGTTATTAATGAAGGGGGTGGTTGCAACTAGGGGATATAACTGGAGTCTTAGCTTGTTCTTGGGAACTGGAGGCTTGGAGGACTTGACAGTGAAGTGAAGATTACTGAGTTACTCATTATGGGTTTACTTGGCTGGCATTTGTGTTTATGCGAAATCCTTCAAGTGGGAGATTGTTGGGTTATTCCGTGAAGGCTTTAGAGCTTTGGGCTTTAAGCCCGGTCGGTTAAAGAGAAGAAATATGGGGGGCCGGTTTTAGTTATTAATTAAAGGGCCCATTAGTTGTTTCTTGTTTAGCAAGTTGTTAACCCTAATTTATATCTTATAAATACCCAATCATGTAACTATAATCTGTGAGCACCTAATAAAAGATAAACCCTAGTTGCAACCCGTGGAGTAGGTTACTGACCGAACCACGTTAAATCTCGTGTTCTTATTTTC